ATTCTCAGCGTAAAACCCAATATTTTGTCACAATTCTCAGCGTAAAACCCAATATTTTGTCACAATTCTCAGCGTAAAACCCAATATTTTGTCACAATTCTCAGCGTAAAACCCAATATTTTGTCACAATTCTCAGCGTAAAACCCAATATTTTGTCACAATTCTCAGCGTAAAACCCAATATTTTGTCACAATTCTCAGTGTAAAACCCAACATTTTGTCACAATTCTCAGTGTAAAACCCAATATTTTGTCACAATTCTCAGCGTAAAACCCAATATTTTGTCACAATTCTCAGCGTAAAACCCAATATTTTGTCACAATTCTCAGCGTAAAACCCAATATTTTGTCACAATTCTCAGCGTAAAACCCAATATTTTGTCACAGTTCTCAGCGTAAAACCCAATATTTTGTCACAATTCTCAGCGTAAAACCCAATATTTTGTCACAATTCTCAGCGTAAAACCCAATATTTTGTCACAATTCTCAGCGTAAAACCCAATATTTTGTCACAATTCTCAGCGTAAAACCCAATATTTTGTCACAATTCTCAGCGTAAAACCCAATATTTTGCCACAATTCTCTGCGTAAAACCCAATATTTTGCCACAAATCTCCACCAAAAACCCTAACATTTTGCCCCTAAAGATTTGATTTTCTTGTCAACAGAGCAGGCCATTACAAGTTCTCCCCAGAAAGTAAATAACGCAGGTTAGTTTGATATAGCACACCAGTCCAATTTACCTAGCGAGACGTTGTTTCTAATTACATAGGAGTTTTTAACACCTTAACAAAAGACACTCAGGATAAAAATTCTAATTAATTTGACGAAATCGTATGTCATAATATTATTATAGAAGAACATCAGTAAAGTTTTGTTTACAAGTTTGCATGTCAATGGCCTTGACATTCCAGCTATCCAATCAGACGACAGGTCATGTGAAGCAGGCTGGGTGGCGTACAACGACTTCTGCTACCTGGTGAAGAAGTTAACAGTCAACTGGTTCGAATCCTACGCAGCCTGTTGGATGAAACAGGCACTTCTGGCTGTCATCGAAACAAGAGAAGAAAATTTTTTCATTCAGGATAACATTCCAATAGGTTCTTAGTGGTTAAAACAAATTATATGCATAGATACAAACATACACACACAAGAAGACAAACACATACACACAAACAAATGTGTATATATACACACACACACACACACATATATATATATATATATATATATATATATATATATACTATATATATATAATGTATATACTAATAATATATACAATGTATATACGCATGTCAGGTCTAGGCCTTGAAGTCTGGATTGGCCTCCTGTATAACGCCAGCCAAAAGGTTTTTGAGAACGTGGATGACAGTCCTGTGGCCTTCACCAACTGGAGGGTCAATGAACCCAACAACTACAGCACCAACCCAGAGTCGTGTGTCTACATGGACAGCTCGGTGGGTGGATAGGTACTAAATAATTAATTAAATCGTTTGGATAGTAATTAAATCATTAATTCAATAGTTTGGATAGTAATTAAAATCACTAATTAAATAGTTTGGATAGTAATTAAAGAATTAATAAAAAGTTTGGATAGTAATTAAAGAATTAATTTAATAGTTTGGATAGTAACTAAAGAATTAATTTAATAGTTTGGATAGTAATTGGATAGTAATTAAAGAATTAATTTAATAGTTTGGATAGTAATTAAAGAATAAATTTAATAGTTTGGATAGTAATTAAAGAATTAATTTAACAGTTAGGAATGTAATTAAATAATTAATAAATAGTTTGGATAATGTACTTAAATTTAAATAATTAATTAAATAGTTTGGATAGTGTTTGAATAATTAATTAAATAGTTTGGATAGTAAATAAAGACTTTAAATATCTTTCAATGCTTAGAATAAAATATAATTTATATCTTCAAGTCAAGCTATCAACTATAAAATCTTGATGAAGTACGAGAAAGTTGATATGAAGGCTTTATCGAAATACACTTTAAATATTTCTTGCTTGATTTCCGAAGTTTATATCCGTTCTTTAGTTTTTGTAATATGCGCATATTTACGTCAAAGGTTTGAATTGTGTTTATCCAACCTGGTTTTCAGCTAGGGAAATGGTACGACGGTGATTGCGACTTATCGAAAAATGGCTTCGTGTGCAAAAAGCCGAATGGAATTTTATCAGAGAATCCAACTACTTCTGCAGACACAGATATAGACACATCTCCACATTGTAGCTCAGTAGGTCACACATTTTGTAAAATAAACTTTTTACATCTTAGAAGGTTTTTGGTTTTATAGATTGACTAGTCAGTGCTATGTTTGTCTTGCCCGTGATGCTATAGAACTATTGGCTATGTTGCCCACGATGCTGTAGAAATTGGTTAGTAATACATTAGATATGACAATGTATTCCCCAGGAATCTGTACAAAATGTCTAGTCATACATTAGATATGACAATGTATTCCCCAGGATTCTGTTGACAATGGCTAGTTATACATTAGATATGACAATGTATTCCCCAGGAATCTGTACAAAATGGCTAGTCATACATTAGATATGACAATGTATTCCTCAGGAATCTGTACAAAATGTCTAGTCATACATTAGATATGACAATGTATTCCCCAGGATTCAGTTGACAATGGCTAGTAATACATTAGATATGACAATGTATTCCTCAGGAATCTGTACAAAATGTCTAGTCATACATTAGATATGACAATGTATTACCCAGGAATCTGTACAAAATGGCTAGTCATACATTAGATATGACAATGTATTACCCAGGAATCTGTACAAAATGGCTAGTAATACATTAGATATGACAATGTATTCCCCAGGAATCTGTAGAAAATGGCTAGTAATACATTAGATATGACAATGTATTCCCCAGGAATCTGTACAAAATGTCTAGTCATACATTAGATATGACAATGTATTCCCCAGGATTCTGTTGACATTGGCACCAAATGTCTTGTTATTGTGGAGGAGCAGAAAACGTGGAAGGACGCGCAGGCCGACTGTGTGTCCAGAAATGGCAGGCTTCTGGTTATAGACGACAGGTAAATCTCTAATCTTTAGGATTAACTTGATTAAAACAAATTATTTTCCTAAGTATGACATTATGGTTCAAAGCAAACATTGTGATAATTAAAAAATTCAATAATTTAATGAACCAAATAATGTATCCTGTTATGGCAATGATCTAACACCAAATTAAACAACCGCTCCCCCAGTCAAACGAATCGAATGGTGGCCAACAAATTGATTGAGAAAACCAAACCCTACTGGCTTGGTCTGTACAGCGTCATCTTACAATACAAGTGGGTGGATGACGTACCTGTCACCTTCACGTCATGGGTACCTTCACACACAGGTAACACATAAAACACTCAACGTTAGTGGCCTAGAGGGTAAACACTCCACATTACTGACCAAGAGAATAACCACAACACTCCACGTTACTGACCTATTGGAGAGCTCAACATTTTTTAGACATTAGTCATTTTTGTGACGTTTATTTGAGACATACAGAACACCGTGAAACATTTACTTTAAAGCAATTGCTGAGATCTCATTAATAAGTTTAGACGTGTCCATTAGCTGTTAGAAACATTCATGGATGCAATAAAATATTTGCTAGAGTGATATGAATTGGACTTACATATAGAACAATTTTATAAAATTAAATTTCTAATTACACACCAACCAGTTCCAGGAATAAAGCTATACATTTCTATTTACACACCAACCATTCACAAAGAACAAAGTTATAAATTTCTAATATCACACCAACCATTCACAAAGAACAAAGTTATCAATTTCTAATATCACACCAACCAGGCCCCCAGAACAACACATGTGTGGCTGTCAGATCGAAGATTTACTCTGGCATGTGGCAACCCTTTCTGTGCCAGCTTTTAATGTACTTCCTGTGTGAGGTTGACCCTCTAGTGACCACCCCAGCTACTGTATCAGCTGCTGCACCAGCTACAGCAGCAGTATCGCCAAAACTCTGGACATTACACGGTGATCATTATTACAGGGTGAAGCTTTAAATAAAATTATATTTTGTTTACATATTTCAACTATTTAAAAAGTATAATAATTTACAACAAAGTTTAAAAGTGTATTCCTCTCATTTTTCTCTTAAAACCCGTCACAAGCATTTTGACAATCTTCTTGATCCGATTAATTTATCTTTAATATCGCGTGACTTGAATTAATTAACTAAATTGTAAGGATAGACGATACACATATCTTTTGACACTCGGTTCAAATCATCCCTCCCAGCAGAGTGTCAATAGAACTCATGTAACACATCCAGGGTTTCTTTCAGATGTTCAAAACACCAAAAACATGGAGCGGCGCCCAGCTGTACTGTGAGACGATTGGTGGGAACCTCATTAGTATTCACGATGACGACACGTTTGAATTCGTCATCAACCAGCTGGCTAAAGGGTTCGGAGATTTTATTTCGTTGTAAACTATCAGGCTCAAAGATTTTATTTCGTTGTAAACCAATTGGCTCAAAGATTTTATTTCGTTGTAAACCAATTAGCTCAAAGATTTTATTTCGTTGTAAACCAATTGGCTCAAAGATTTTATTTCGTTGTAAACTAACTGGTTCAAATATTTTATTTCGTTGTAAACCAACTGGCTCAAAGACTTTATTTTACTGAATACTGGTGCAGCGCTTACTTGTGAATCCCTTTCCAAACCCTCTAGTGTTGAATTATTTGGGGAAATAAATATATAGCGAGAAAACGGTTTTAAAAAAGTTATAAGACAAATATTTGTATTCAAGTTATTCTAACGATAAAAATATTTCCATTGCAGAATTTTATCTCACTGGATTGGACTGACACTAGACTCACAGAAAACAAGTAAAATCTATTTTAGTATTGTAAAAAGTATAGGCAAATGTCGTGTTAAGCAAAGTGGTTTTAGAAGTTAGGATTGAGATTGGGGCTATATCTTTTGACCGTTTTTCTCTTTGTAAAGACTTATAGTAGTCAGACTGTTATAACTGGGTTCTATATGTGTACCACAGTTATGCAGTGAGAGGGTAGAACTACCTGATCCACTACTATATTTCATTACCACTACCATTTGATTATGTTTAGCTATGCAATAGTGTATCTTGAGACACGACGACATCAACGCTTACAATTGATTTGACAGAATGACATTGTTTACTAATTCCATTTTATTGCACTATAGAAATAGACATCGGACAGCTTGAACAAACGATACTAAGACTGGACAATCTAACCCTAACATAACACGGACAAGACTAACTCAAGCTTCTTCCCCGGCAACAACGAACTAACACTAAAACGTGACTTTCTTGCGTACCGCGTCACACTTTCACTCGTTCAATATTATCGCTTCGCACCAGCATTCATGCGCACCAATTTCCCTAGTCGAACATGCATCATAACAGAGACCATAAAGTTAAGATTGTGATTGTGGTTGTATATCTTTTGACCATGTATCTCTATGTGAAGGCTTCTTGTGGTCTGACGACACAGCTTTTGATTTCGCCCAGTGGATGAAGGGAGAGCCCGACAACTTCAACAACAATGAGGAGTGTGTGCAGGTAGGTGACATACGATTTACAACATATGCAACTGTATGTGTATTTACGTTTGTACATTTATGTATGGTATATATCTTCCACAGGTGAAAGTGTTATTGAAAAGATGGAGCGACACAAATTGTGAAACGAAACAAAGTTTTGCTTGTGCTATACACAAAGGTAAACATGTAAAAAGTGCCTGGTGTGTGAACTGGTGAGTTCATATTTTGTTGTTGTCCATCATGTCAGTGTTAGCTGCATGTGACACAATCAACACAATCAACACAATCAACACAATCAACACAATCAACACAATCAACACAATCAACACAATCAACACAATCAACACAATCAACACAATCAACACAATCAACACAATCAACACAATCAACACAATCAACACAATCAACACAATCAACACAATCAACACAATCAACACAATCAACACAATCAACACAATCAACACAATCAACACAATCAACACAATCAACACTATCAACACAATCAACACAATCAACACAATCAACACAATCAACACAATCAACACAATCAACACAATCAACACAATCAACACAATCAACACAATCAACACAATCAACACAATCAACACAATCAACACAATCAACACAATCAACACAATCAACACAATCAACACAATCAACACAATCAACACACTCAACACAATCAACACTATCAACACAATCAACACAATCAACACAATCAACACTATCAACACAATCAACACAATCAACACAATCAACACAATCAACACAATCAACACAATCAACACAATCAACACAATCAACACAATCAACACAATCAACACAATCAACACAATCAACACAATCAACACAATCAACACAATCAACACAATCAACACAATCAACACAATCAACACAATCAACACAATCAACACAATCAACACAATCAACACAATCAACACAATCAACACAATCAACACAATTAACACAATCAACACAATCAACACAATCAACACAATCAACACAATTTACACACACAACTAAGTACCACACTGCGGAATATTACAACTTTGAATATCTTCACTTCACAGAAGTGCCTATTCTACATGATCCTACATTTTTACACGAAGGTGACATCTTTTATATTCATTATTTATAATGTAGTTTCTGGTGTAAGTTATGTTCTTTGAATAATTGCATGAAATTCAATTGATTTAATTGTTTTATTGTTTCAGAGTAACGACGCTTGAGATTTCTACGTTAAATACCACGCATTTTGTCTGGGCATTGACCCTTTGAAAGTTAAATAGATAAATTCTCGATTGTTAGATGTTAGTCGTAGATCCATAGACTGGAAATAAAAGAAAACTATTTTAAAAAAATATTTTGTGTTGCCTTGATTTTCTACTTTTTAGTGCATTAGTACATAAAAGCTTGTTATTAAAACGTTTTTTATGAATTTGTTTATAATTACTTATTATTTCTGTAATTAAATCCCAAAAACGTTTTAATGAAATAATGTAATGTCTAAGGCATTACAATTTTGCCTTAAAACCAGTTTAGGTATTAATTTCGAAAATAATAATTAATTAAAAAATATAATTTAACCAAATGTATCTCCAGTTTTCCTTGACTAATATTTTGTTTTAAGTGTATCAACATATTTTCAGTTTCCATCTGACATGAATAAATCTTTAGGCCCACCCACCGGAATGTGATCGTGGATCACACATAATCAACTAACTATAAAACAGGCAGATAAAAAAGGCATAGGCTAATTATTTAGGTTTAAAATGGGACATAATTAACATAAAGAAACGAAGTGGGGTGGGGGGAATGTCATAGGCCCTACTCTAAAACCTAGATCTACATTTATTCTTTATAAACGACTCAGTATAGTTATAACACGATCACGAGTTGGTGATTGT